CGCCACGCTGACAGCTGGTATGAGTTTGTGCTTATATGCCATGTTTGGTTTTTGCCAAATGGGCACTGAGCATTATGGCCAAACATCTCCACTTTGGTCTCTAAAGAGGCATTGTTCCAGAAGTCTCCACCAAGCCGTGCTGCCGTGTTCTTTTTTTCCTCCTGGCAGCCATACTTGTAGCTTTTGCTTTTTCAGTTTTCTGCTCCTGGGAAGATTGACAGCAGTCTTGAATGTTTTTCACTTGTTTCTCAGCATAGGATGATGAACTTCAGATTGTTTGGTTATAGCCTTTCCCAGACCGACAGCAACAACTACTTTTTTAAGGTGGATGCTGATGGATTTTCTCCATATTCCAGATGAGCAAACTGCCAAAACCTCCACATTTTAGAAGTGATCAATTAATCAAGTGACTGATTAGTATCTGACTGCTACTTACACTCTTAATGGGAGCAGTAAGATGTACTTTCCTCATAACTGCATATGATCCTGTATAATGAGAACTTTTGTGCAATAAGGCTGCTGCTTTAGTTTAGATTAAAACTTTCATTTAAGAGTAAATTCCTTGTTTGACCACTTGTCAAAAGTTCTTGTAGCGTGCTGCTTTTTCACGTAACCTCAGGGATGCACCTGGAGCAGCTGCACTGTGTTATGGCTCTAAAGCAGATTGCTTGTAGTCCCACCAGACCCACCGCAGTGAGTTTCAGACACTTCCCAGAAGTGGCAATTCACACTGCACCACTTTAAACGGTGCCAGGTCTTGTTTATTTCCCCCCCCCCAACTGACGCCAGGTCAAGCTGCAAAGAACAGATGAGGAGGGTCCAAGGAGAGTCTGGTCAGATTTCAAAATAAAAGACCCCATGCAAACTTAATGTGTGTGAGGTGCACATAAATGTGAAAATAATACCACAGTTTTTAAATCAGTGTTGTGGTATATTGTGGTTTTCTGGAAACAACCCTGCTTCTTTCTGATTGGGCTAAGCAGTGGTCCCTTTTTATTTGTGTATGTATATATATATTTTTTATTGTGTTTCAGTGATAGTTTTCCTGGACAATGAACTCCTAAATCACGCTAGTGAAGTCAATCTTGCATGATTAGGATTTTAGCTTTTGGTCTGGGGTACAGATGCAGAAGACAGTAGGAGGGGAGTTTCTCTAGCCATTCCCATCTGCCTCTGACACTGCGTCGTCTTTCCCACTTATAGATGCCATTACAAGCGAATTTGAGTTGCTATAACTAGGATTTCTGTGATATGTCTGAATAATATGAAACCAAATAAAACATCAGCCAAACTTTAATGCGAAATTACAAAAGTACATCACAGTTTTTGAAAACAATCTTAAGCAGTATGTCAAAAGATACTCAAAGTTTAACAGTTTATTTATACAGTAGCAGGTCAGGCTGTTTGGTCCCCTGGCTTAAAATGTTACAATAATCACGTCCAGTTTTAACTTGTCAGAAGTGGAAACAAATGATCATTTGTCTCTTACAGTTCAATGCGTTCATGGTTACATATGTGACAAATTAAAGGAAAAACAAAAAAAAACCTGACCCACGCAGTGAGAGGTGGCGGTGTGCTAGTCTGGGTCCACCTGAAACATTTCCATCCTGGTGGAAGTCTTCCTGGGTGACAGTGCCTCCACCTGGACACGAGGGCTCACAGTGGTTTGAGGGTGAAAATAAAGTTACTCATAGGCTGCGGCTTTCACAATCAACACATCTCAAGCCAAACAAACGCCTATGGGAGATTCTGAACAAGCGTTTTAGACCGTGCTCTCAACTCGCTCGCCATTAGGCTACCTGAGTCAATGCCAAGGTGCATTAAAGCTGTAGGTTTTTCCTTTAACTGTCATCCATCTGTGGGATCAAGAACTCAAAAGTCACAGCTGGATTCTTCTGAGAAAAAAAAAAACCAAACTTATTATTTTCTACTTTGTCTTGATTCAGAAACGTTTCAGTCACAGCTGAGCTGCAGTCTAATAAGACCGTGCAGTCGGTTTCTCATGACAGCAGTTTGATAATGAAGCATCCGATGAAAATACAAAATTACAAAAGTTGCGTACACAAAAAAAATTAAAACCTCTATTCTGTGACTCATAACATTTGGGTTAAAAATATTTATTTAAAGGGGAATCATTTTAAATATCTTTTTAAAAAAATTTGATTATTCTAAATGTCGTGAAAGAGGCACGAATAAAATTCACTCTTGACACGGCTGCAACTTTATATCAAGAAGAGAAGAAGAAACTGTCTGAAGGAGGAGGAATGGCAGAAGATCAGTTAAGCGTCCGTGGACGTCGTCGTTTTGGCCGAGAGCAGAAAATTCACTTTATACGTCCCCTTCTTCCTCTTCTTCTTCTTCCTCCTCGTAGTGTCGGTTACGTTTAATCAGCTCCTCCACCGTCAGCTCCTCCTGCTCTTCCTCGCTGTCCCAGAAGCCCACGTCCTGAGACGACCGGCTGGCCTCCACCTCTGCCTCCGGAGAGGAGACTGCAGTCGGCTCAGTTGGAGTCTCCTGAAGTTTAGCATCTGGCATGTCTTCCTCCAGCACGCCTCCGTCTTCCTCCTCCATCTGCTCCTCCTCTTCACCTTGTCCTCCTGCAGCGTCATCGAGATCCTCCTCTGTGGGGAGATGATGGTCTGTAGCGTCTTCGCTCTTCATCTCCTCTTCCTGTTCTTCCTCTCCGGAGCTGGTGTGCACATCTACACAGCTGTCCTCGGTGGGGGTTTGGCTGTCTGACGACTGGCCGCCGTGCTGGAGGTCCATGCTGGCGGGTTCAGGACTCGGCTGCCGCTCTACCGGTGCACTCTGCTTTTTGGGCTCAGGAGCAGGAGGGCTGTCAGGTTGAGCTGCCGCGGTGAAGGGCATGCTGCGCTCCTTCAGGGGGGTGTTTCGACGCAGAACAGGTGAGCCCCTGGCTTCCTCTGGGGGTGTGGATGGGGAGTCTTCCTCTGGAGGCCACTTGGCTCTGATTGGTTTACCCGTGGAGACCACCTCTGTGTTGGCGGCGGCTCCACCGCGGCTGGGCGTGTCCTCGGGCTCAGTTTTTGGTGGCCAGGAGATCTTCAGCCTGCGGGTCTCTGTGGGTTTGTCAGCCTTCTCTGAGGAACCTTGTCCCAGAGCCTCCATGGTGGCCGTCAGGACGTTGACTTTAGCCAAGGGTGAGTCCTCCACACTGGGGCTTTCCTGGTCTGAGGGTGTGGTCGGGCTCTGGGCCGTTGGCTTGGTTACAGATGTCGGCGAGGCCTCAGCGCTCTCGTTTTTGCCCTCCCAAAGTTCCTTGTGCGGCCGGTGGCCGAAGCCCTCGTCGTAGTTTCCTTTGGCCTTGAAGAGCTGGGAGAAGTGCGGCTTGCAGTAGACGCTGTTGTGCA